CTCAAACTCCTGGGCTCAAGCAATCCTTCTGCCTCAGCCTCCGGAGCAGCTGGGACCACAGGCATGTGCCACCATGCCTGGCTAATTTTTTCTATGTATTTTTAGTTATCCAGCTGATTTTTTTCTATTTTATTTGTAAAGGCGGGGTCTCGCTCTTGCTCAGGCTGGTCTCGAACTCCTGACCTTGAGAGATCTGCCCGTCTTGGCCTCCCAGAGTGTGAGGATTACAGGCGTTAGCCACTGTGCCTGGCCTAAACCCCACAATATACTATTTTTATTACAGCTTTAAACAATCTTTTATCTTTCAAAGAAATCCAAAAATGAGGAGAATGAGAGTGATATCATGGGGAATGTCAAAACAGCAATATCTAAAAACTCTCTGTGGTAAACATACCAAGAACACTGGCAAAAAGTGTCAAGATCAACTTTTTTCAAAACTTTGAAATTAACCAAAGAGTTACAATAATCTGAGAGGTGTGGGGGTGGTATTTATTTAAAACAATAACAACAAAGAGTAGAATCAACATAGGAACAACAAACTTTGTGTCATTTTCACTTTCCTTAATACCCTCCCCTCTCCACAGATCCATGGTAGCCTTGAAAACCAACAGCTTGCAGTCATGGGGAAGATTAGCAGCCTAGCCTGCACTGAAGTAGTCAAACCGATTGGAGCTCTTTCAGAGCCCCATCTTCAGAGCATTATCATTATTTGACCAGTCTGACAGTGTCCTGGTAAACCCTACTTGAAAGGTTTACCTTTATTTAACCTGACTGAGAACTTGCCCAGTGCAAAGCAATTTCCCCCAGAGGCATTTGTCAAAAATGATCAGTGACAACTGTTTAACAAAGTAGTCAGCTGGGGTGCCAGTTGAGGTAAACAACCAAATAACCAAAAACCTTAAAAGGAAAATCTGGGAATGAGATGTCCATTGGGGTCTTTGAAAAGATCTACCATATTCCTGAGAATCTCAAAAGCCAAATGCATGCATATGGCTGTGCTCATGGTCAGAGCTGTGTGCATGCTCAGGAAAGACTAAGAAGTCCTTACCTCTGGCTAACCTTGCGGCTCTGCACAAGCAGGAAGTAAAGGCTAAAGTGGAGTTGTAAGCTGCCTGGTTGAATACCCCAACACACATATAGAGGTCCAGCAAAGACCAGAAACTTATTAGTTGAGGCATTTAAGGAAATCTCTGTTCAGTCAGTAGTTGACTAGCTAACCAAGAAAAAACTTCAGTGGCCATATGTGACAAAAAATATAGAGTTTATAGAATTAGTTAGGAAAAATCACTAAACAATAGCAACAACAAATGGCAATAATAGCAAACAAACTCAGGGAAATGGAGAGAATCTGATTTTTAGAGTAGTCACATTATATTATTTTAAATGTCCAGTTTTCAATAAAAAACTAAGAGACATGCAGATAAACGAGAAAGTATGACCTATACACACGAAAAAAAGCAGTCGATAGAAATTGTCTCTCAGGAAGCCAAAATATTGGACTTACTAGACAAAGACTTTAAATCAGCTATTTTAAGTATGTTAAAAGAACTAAAGGAAGCCATATGTAAAGAGCTAGAGGAATATATGAGAATGATGTTTCACCAGATAGAGAATATTGATCAATAAAAAAGAACCAAATAGAAATGCCAAAGTTGAAAAACAGTCTAGCACAAAGAATCAAGGATAAAATCCTAGCTTTTAGCAGACATCAAAATTAAAGGTGTAAGTGGAGAAGAGCCAATAAAAATAATGAGAAGGGGGCCTGGCTTGGTGGTTGACGCCTATAATCGTAGCACTTTGGGAGGTCGAGGTGGGAGGATCACATGAGCCCAGGATTTCAAGACCAGCCTGGGCAACACAGAGAGATTCTGTCTTTACAAAAAATAAAAAATTAGCCTGGTGCAGTGGTGCACATCTATAGTCCCAGCTACTTGGGAGGCTGGGGCACGAGGATGGCTTGAGCCCAGGAGACATAGACATTATTTTAAAGCTATGTTCTGCCTTTGGTAAATAGACTAAACTATTTGCCTTATCCATCGAAAGAATTAGATCATACTTCAGTGCTGATTTTCTTGTTAATGGGACAGAGAGAAGTCAGGATGATAATAAATATTTCTGTGGTATGGTCACTGAAGCCTTAAAAGAGTAATACTGTAGTTTGTGTGTGAGGCAGTGATTTAAATCCTCCTTTCAGATAGCTTCCTCACTCATATAGGAAACCTCTGTTTCAACAGGAGATGAATATGACATTTCACTTTAGTTATTTTTATTGACATATAACTTTTTTCTCCTCTGAAAGAACAAGTTTTTTTTTTTTTTTTGAGACAGAGTCTCACTCTGTTGCCGG